GTGCAGCAGAGCTTCCGTGGCGGGTGACCTTTGACACGAACCCCGACAATTGCAATTTGCACTGTGACATGTGTGAGGGTTTCTCGCAGTACTCCACAGTGCAGAAAGAAAGGAAGGAGGAAGGATTGAAACCCCGGAGGATGAGCATCTGGCTGGTTGAAAAAAGTTCTGACAGAGTGGGTGGATCTACATCTGGAGAGTCTGTCTCCAGAGAGTCCCAAGATGGAAGTCATCCCATCTACCATGGGCGAGCCACTGTTGTATGAGCACTTTGAAGAGTTCCTATGCTTGGTGATTCGTGAAGATGCTCGCCTCCAAGCTCATGGGGCCCCTGGCCTCAAATTGAACTTGACGACGAATGGCACGTTCCCGAGACTGGGGGCAAAGGCTTGGGCCAAGAAGCTCATTCCAGTCACATCAGATATCAAGATCTCCTGGAATGGTGCAGGGAAAGAGACCCAGGACTGGATGTAGTTTTTTTTCTTCATTGCATTCTTTTCGGAGCGACAGCCACAAGGATGATCGCTAGGGTAGGTCCGTGTGGTTTTCATTTGGGCCAAGTCTGAGTCTGTTAGGAAGTACCCTGCAGGAGAGAATCATGAGGGGCCAACGTTTCGAGGAAGTTCTCAAGAATGTGAAGGAACTGGTTGCCGAACGAGATCGAGTGGCCGCCGCTGGTGAGAACTTCTGCCGCCTTACTTTTCAGCTTACTTTCCTTGAAGAGAACTATCAGGAAATTCCTGATATCATTGAACTCGCCGCGAACTTGGGCATAAACCGTGTGAAGGGGCACCACTTGTGGACACATTGGTCTGAGATGGCTGGGCGTGCCATGAAGCGGAATGTTCAGGCGGTTGAGGCCTGGAATCAGATGGTACCGAAGGCGTTGAAGGTTGCAGAGTGCCATGGAAGCTTGGAGAGAAGTAGTGATTGCCTGGACTCAATGCGGAGGACATGGTGATTGTTGTTGCGTACACTCTTTGACTCAGAACTTGGGGTATGCAAGATGCACAAAACATTATATAGTAGGTTGAGCAGCAGGAATTCTAGAAAATCGTTGTTTCCTTGTTTGCTTGCTGAGGAATAAAGCTGGAAGGCATTGATTTCATCCCGGAGAGTGCGGGCGAAGATCTGGCTCCGGGCGCACCGTGCCCTTTCCTGGTGAAGGAGGGTGGAAGACGGACGAGTGACCAGCTACAGAGAATGGAGACCTCCGTCAAGAGTTGATTTTGGATAACCAGTAACAAGCCCAACGTAGTAATCATCAGAGTTGTTGCTTTTCAACGTGATTTGACAATGCTAAACTGTGAGGAGTTTTGGGTTGCAGCTGATGGACGCTTCAACCCATGCTGTGCTCCCAACGAACAGCGCCTATCTCTTGGGTATTTTGGCAACTTGAATGAGGACTGCAGCGTGACAGAGTTGCAGAGTTGTGGCGGACCGGAAGACATGGATTGATGACCTTTGTTCCAAACAAAATCATCCTCTTACACAAGCCCTGACGATGGACGCTCCATGGCTGGCTCAAGCTTCAGGGGTTTCCAGTATCCGTTTTCCAAATCCCTTGGTTGGTTCCGTTGACCAGCTCAGAGGACAAGCTCGAAGACATCCTCAGAGGGGAGCCATATGAGGATCTGGTGGCAACGTACTCAACTCGCAGTCTATGCGTGGGCTGCAACATGCGCCGCTGGCCGAAGGAGTGAGCCGTGGCGTCAGGGCTTGCAGCTCTGGAAAAATATGATGTGCAGTCGATTCATACTGGAACTGGACAGAGGTATGATCGCCGCAACGTAAAAGGCGTACCGTTCCAGTCATGAGCTCGACTTGCAAGCCAGCGAGAAACCACAAGAATTCTTGCTGCTATGAGCAGGCATTTTGCGGCTACTTTCAAGCTAAGGAGCGCAAAAGTGGGGTAGTCTTTTGATTCACATTCCTTATCAGGTAGGCAGGATTGTGGTGCTTTGAACACATTGCCAATATGTTCGTTGGCTCAGACCACACGCTTCCACTCAAAACTCAGGGTTGAAGGCAGGGCTTGCTTAAGCTTTTCTCACATTATTTGGGTGAGTCTCAATCCAATTGGCTGGTGATTGGAGGTTTCCCTGTTACTTTATGAAGGCCCATTCTTCTTTCTTCTCATGTCTTTGGAATAATGTTCCCATTTTGCGTTCACAATTTGTGGTTTGCTATCGCTTTTCTGCCGCCAGGGTATGGCCTTGTCCCAAGAGGACTGAGCTGTTTCTGAAGTTGCCATACGCGACGCATTAGCACGTATTCGCTAACTGGTGCAATATTTTTTGTTGTGCTTGGTTGATTGGATATATATATATATATGCATCAAAGCCTCACACACTCTGTGACGACAAGAGGTCTTGAACCAACGAATGGGCTTTCTGGGGCTACTCCCGCAGCCATGTCATGTAGGGCGGAAGATTGGTGATTGCTAGCTCGGTGCAGCCATGGCAGCTCGCGAAAGATGCGCCGCAGCTTGGCCGATTGCGACCATTGGCCTCGCCATGGCGTACTTTCAATTCCCGATCACCTTCAGTGCGGTTGGACCGCGACAGCGCCTTGAGAGGACAGAAGATTGCATCAAAGCTTTGGCTTCGAATCCCAAGGTGAGACGTGTTTGTGTGATCTTCCGACATGGTGAGAAGGAGGTCTCCGATGAAGACATGCAGAAAGATGACCAACCCGATGAGGGTTTCTGGAAGCGGCAGCATGACGCTGCATTGACTCAAAGAGGACTTCAAGAAGCCGAAGCCTTCGGGGCAAAGCTGTCTGATATCTTGGTTTCTGAAGGTCAAATGCAATGCGTTGGGCTTTTAACGAGTCCAGTTCCCCGATGCCATGCGACTATGGCTGCCGTCCACACTGCATTGAAGGGCCAAAACTGCCTCGAGGTTGAAAGCTCTTCTGCCTGGATGAATGGAACTCACATGCCCGGCCAAGAAGAGGAAGCTGCCGAGGCTTTTTTGGGCAAGGGGATGGCGACCCGTCGTCGATGATCTCGCAGCTGGCAAGCAGATCTTGGGCTTTCGACCCTTGGAGGAATGTGTCCAGACACTTCGTGACACGTGTGATCTTTCAGGAAGGACAAGACGGAGCAGAAGTGAAGAGACGGAGTTGTTCTTGGTTTGTACCCATGATGTCTATCTCTATGCTTTGGCAGCTTGGTTTTCAAAAGGTCGGAGGCCCAAGATGCCCGACTTTCTGGAACAGGCTGTTTGGTGGGTTGAGGGCGACACTGAACATTTCTATTATGATGGTGAAGAATTCTCCAGTGAGTTCTAGCGCTCAAAGTTGAGAATCAAATGCAAAAAGCGGTGCCGACACGTGCTGACATGTCTTCCATGTTTTTTTGCGGCTGCTTCACATCACCACTCTGCTGTACAAATTCGGGTTCAGCTGACATGGAACCTGAAAAAAGAGTTGGTCACAAAGCTTCCCTACGTGTCAGGTTTCAGGTTGTGAACGTTTCAGGTTTCACGACAGTCCCAAGCGGACGAGTCCTGTGTGGCTCCCAGGACACCTGTCAGCCAGAGCCTTCGAGCAGCCAGCTTTTGGGAG